ATTTAAGAGGATTGTCAGTATTCTGTTTGTTTTCTCTCTCTATAAGCAACATACATTCACCCAAAATAATATTTTTATTTTTGAGTTACCTTAGATTAAAATCACCCGTTAAAAAAATAATAAAGAATAATACTATTTAATGCATGACATATCGATTTGTCTAAATATTGTCTCAAAATAATTTAATATCCATTTAAATTTACAAAAAAATTTTATTTTTAAGTCAAATAATATTAAATGTATTAGCGATTCATCAAACCCTCAAAAATATTATTCTCATTTGTGTAATAGCTAATTTTTCCAATTTTTCAAAAATCATAAAAAATGATTTTCGGTAAATGCATTTTATTTATGTTGGACTAGAATCTGAAAGAAAACAAATATACCGCTAACATCCTCTTTAAAAAAAGGTAATAAAGTAATCATTAATCAGTATGGAAATTTAACATTTGTTTCTGCAATTATTGTAACTCTCGTGTATATTGTCAATTTTTTTTATTTAGATGATGAAAAACATATTGCTTGATGAAGGAGATATGGTGCAAGTTGAAAGTGTTTCATTAGAAGTAGCCACCTTTTCAAAGTTTCAACCTCAAAATTCTGAATTCTTAGATATCACAAACCCAAAGGCTGTTTTGGAAAATTGCTTACGCAATTTTGCTTGTCTGACTACTGGTGATGTAATAGCAATAAAGTACAATCAAAAAATTTATGAAATGTGTGTGTTAGAAACCAAACCGGGTAACGCTGTTAGTATCATTGAATGTGATATGAATGTTGAATTTGCCGCACCAGTTGGTTATCAGGAACCTACGCATATGAAAAAACCAGCAGAAGAAGAGATGATGGTTGATCCTGCTGATTTAATGCCAGAACCAACAGGGTTCATAGCGTTCAAAGGTTCGGGAAATCGACTAGATGGAAAAAAAAAGAAAGACAATTCTGATGATCAATCGAATCAAGTTAGAGCAGTGTACCAAAGAGGAATTCCAGATTATGATTATAATATAGGAACTATACAGTTTATAAGGAACATCCGGTCTGTGAATAAAGACAAAGAGGTAATAATTAATAAATTTAAATATACAAATAACTATAATTCTATTAAATTAAATCCTATGATTTGTTTCACACTGATACTGTCTTCACTGTGCATATATAAGATAAATACATAAGTGATGTGATGTTACAACTGATCCAAAAGTGGGTNATACAAATAACTATAATTCTATTAAATTAAATCCTATGATTTGTTTCACACTGATACTGTCTTCACTGTGCATATATAAGATAAATACATAAGTGATGTGATGTTACAACTGATCCAAAAGTGGGTTTGGTGTCTGAGCATACTGATCAAAAATCAGTCACTTTAATAACCACTCATTTGTGGAATTAAAGCCATTGTCACAAGATGATAGTAAAATGCCATAGTTACATTTGCAACCGCTTATTGTCATCGTACAAACTTCTCAATTGGTATTATCTCACTATCTACTTTTTCACTCTTGCACTATCATGCATACTTGATAGTTCTTTCACGACAGCAACTATCACAGTTTTTATCATATTGTGAATGCGGCTTTAGTGTATTAATAAAAATATTTTTTGAGTTATATTAATGGCTATTTCTTATCATTAAAAGAAATAAACATACCATTTTATTTTATTGTAGTAAAATTGAATACTACAAGTTTAAATAAATGACTTAATATTTTTAATTTCAGGATGAAAATCAAGAAGGATTTAAGCCTTTTGCGGGTTCCGGATCAGTACTAAAAAAAAAAAAAAAAAAAAAATAGTACCATAATCGTATTTCAAAGCATGTACAAATTTTAATTTTTAATATAAGAGTAATTCAATTTTAAATGGTTTTAACGTGGTGATAATTTTTTAATAATTAAAAATAATTATTTAATACATTTATTGTAAATATAATTGTCAAAGTAAAAGTAGGAAAATTTAGAAACCATAATATTGTACAATAATATTATTTTCTATATTTCATACGGCTTATTGTTTTTTTTTCACATAAGTTATCAGTGATTAATGCATTATATAGGTTATGACAGAGCAAATTAACTAGTTTGAGACAAATATTACGTTAAACATTACATTTAGTATCAAATCAATAAATAATAAACCACTTATTTCTATAATTAATATTTAATGTTATATTTTATATAATCTATAAAACATGAGAATAAAAAAATACGACTCAAGCAAATTGCATTTAACTAAACAAATATTAAAACATAAAACATTTTAAAATAGCATAATGTTATTCATATAGAACTATAGCCGTAACCTGATTTGAAGATGATACAATTTATGGATTCTAAATTACATGTAATGGAATAATAATAATATATCTAAAATGCTAAAGATTATAATATTAATATAGAAGATTTTCCATCATTTTGCTGATTGTGTTCAAAAATAATATCTTATGATAGTTAATCCTCATTATATGTTACAATCTATGTTATAAATAATTTGTATCATTAATATTATATAATATAAAAAATATGTAATTTAATCGAATATATTATGTTAAAATGCTTTTATTTATATATATATATATATTATATATATTATTTCATCATGTGACATTTATATTTGAGAACATTTAGAAAACTCAGTTATTGTCCATCCATATAGAATATTTTTTTTTTATTTACTAGCTTAGTGGTAATTTTTTTATAACATGTTCATTGTTCATGTCTAATTATTGAAATTATAAAATAAAATAGTAATTACATTTTAAGCATCAGGACTGTGCCATTAGTTATTAATTAATTATTAGAAATGGAAGTGTGGAACATTTGAAATGAAAATGGGAACCAAAAAACTTCTGATGGAGAATGGTTTGATACTCTTTTATAACCACAAATCTTGAAATGAGAGCTGGAGTAGGTCACTTTAAATTAATAGTCACTTATGGCACTTATTAGTGGACAGCTAGGATTGGAAATATTTTAATCCTTAGCTACTGAATACTTATAATTGGCCTACTTATGATGTAACAGATTAACTAGGTACCTACTTGAATAGTTAGTAGTAGTAATAATTAATAGGTATAACTATATTGAGTGTTATGTTACAAAAATTATCCGATATATTAATCTCACTGTAAAAGTATCGTCCAGAGGTATAAAAAATGTTAAATTCCCTTTCTTCTCAGCTATGCTTGATGTCTTTTTACTAAAATATAAATTGAATTGGTTGACTCACAAGGATATACTCTATCAAATACTCTATGATATTTTCCCTGTAATTATAATAATAAATAAACATACTTATTTTATTAGAATTCCCATAAATAAATTATACTTATCATTAATCATTAGTAATTATAGAAAATATAATAAATGTTAAATAAATCAAACAGGATTTTAATTTACCAATGGTAAGTTGGGCATGCAACTTTTCTTTGATTTTGTCAAATAGAATAATTCAATTAGTACTAACACTTTTATTAAAATCATTTTTTGATGGAGTTAATTTATTTCTTATTAGTGTGTTTTATGTAAGTTGTCATCAGTTGTTAGATATGTCAGAATGTCAGATCATCCTGTTATATATCCATACTTGTCGCGATCTGTTACTAATTATAAAATACATTCATACATTTAGTAGTGCTGATATGCTTGAGCTCAGAGCTGTAACCTCTAAGAATTTCAGAAACATAATTACGTTATTCTATTTAATCTGAAAAAGAGAACTAAGTGAGACCAGAAATTATAGGCTCATTATAACTGATTAATGCGTTACAATAGTTTCAAACAGAATCTTGTTGTACTTTTTTTTAAATACAATTCTTGTATAGATAATTTCTTGGTTAATACAAAAATATGATGGCCTTAAATAAACTAACCTTAAAAGTTTATACTACAAACAATATTATTTTAAATACTTTTTTCTTCTCTGTGCGTACATAAATTAAAATTTTTATACCATGAATGAATATTTCAATTAGTAATATATTTTTGTGACTAATGATTTCAAACTTTGAAGCTTCTGCAGACACATAAAATTAACCTTATCTTTGTCATCAATATTTTAATTCTGTGGTCTGAAACGCTATTTCCATTATTTTTAATGAAAAATAATCTATTTTTTTTTTTTTGAGGGAAGTTAATGTGTTTTCAAATTTTTTTTGTTATTATTTTATTGTAGGCATGTTAATGATAAATAAATAAATATTTATTATTATATTTTTTTAACCATCTGAAGTTATACAAAAATATTTAAATGTCATAGATCTCTTTTGTTTTAGTTAGTAAATGAAAATTATTCAATTGTACCTAAAATCTTCTTATGAGTACATAAAAATAATCCCTGATTTTATGTAGGTACACAGCCACAAAAAAAAAAAACAGACACACATGATAAAATCAACACAGATGATCTCTCCACTCAAAATCAAAAAATAACATTTTCCATATCTAGAAATGTCTTTATTTTATGTTCACGTAAGAATATTTAGGTAAAATCGAGGAGATAATTGTCATTTTTACTCTAAAAACAAAAGAAATCAAAAGCATTTAAATATGTCTGAATAACTTTTGATGGTTAAGAAAAACTAATTATAATATATTTATTGTTATATTCGTAATATTATTAATGTGACTACAACAAAATAATAATAAAAAAATTCCTGATTAAATAATAAATACATAGTTAATAAATTACCTACAAAATGTATGTTTTGTTTCAAATATTGTGATAAATCTTACAGAAATAGTTTTTGTACCTAACAATTCTATGTGAACGCCAACAAAAAAATAACATTTTAAAGTCCTGGAAAATATTTTTATTTTATGTACACATAACTGATAGAACGACGTAATAAAATTAAACATTTTGAGTACCTAATATGAATTCTTTAAGTTTATGCTCAATGATCATGGAATGCTTAAAATAGTATAGCGATAGCAGTAAGTAGGTAGTTACTGCCAACGAGCAAGATTATAATTTAAATTGTGCAATACAATAAATTAGGTATAGCAAATAGCAATATGTGGATTATTATTGTTATTCAACTAGTTACCTATATTTGACATACCTAATATACGTTTAAAAATTACTTAAATCAATGGAATCTCGTCAAAAGTACCTGGTGAATGAACGTGTTGTGCCGTAACTTGTAGGTATAATATGTTGATTGTTGACAAAACATACGAAACCCGTCATATGCATACTATTATACATATCATACAATAATTAGGTAGTATATTGAACTGGATTTACATATTAGATTAAATATGCTAATTATTATGCATATTACTGTATTAGTATAGATCGTCTCCTGTTAATCGAATTAACTTTGGCCGAAGACTAATTTTGAATACCAACTCACTGCGTTCAACTGTTCTATTGCAAGTGTACAGTTTTATACTCGTATGAATTTAACGAGTATTTCAACATAAATTGTACACAAGGTACCTATGATATATAGCCGCGTACAAGTACATAGGCTGCCTACTTGTGTGATGTCATCGAAGTGCATCTTACATTTTCGTGTCGATGGGTGGCGAATCCTACATAATATATGTCATATTCGTACCCATTTTTAAATATGCATGAGAAAAGTATTGGACATCTTATATTGTATAGCTTATTTCAACCACACATTGTTTGCCACTATATCGAATAGTAATTGTATTCAGAAGTTAGGGTGCTTAGATGTTATAAAGCCTGTCTGTAAAGTTTCATATAACAATTTTATTAAAAGTGACAGACCCACATAACATTTTCCAATGTTAAAACTTCTATAAACGTTGAAGTTGAGTTGAATTTGAAAGGTTCGATAAACAATATTTAATAATTCTAGATTAAGTGTTAAGAATTAAACGTTTACATTAAAGTAAATTCTTAGTGCTATATAAACACTTGATTTAGATTAGATTATAAATATTAAAAAGTTATTGTGTATTCAATGCTGAATAAACTTACAATGACTAACATTTAAATAGAGTATCATATATAATGCTTATTAAGCCTAGATTTATAAGCATTAATAATTGTTAAGTTAATACTATCCAAACATCAAATTAGAATTACATTGTTAATGTATTCGTTTAAGTATTTATTTAATGCTTGGTAAAAGTTCGTCCCCATTAATTCCAGTATATAATAATATAGCGGCTGCTAGCCAGCATGTGCCCTGTTAGCTATACGCTGTGGCGCTGTGCACTGCAGTACCTATAGCTGTTTCCCCATATTATTATTTAGAGTACATAATATATTGGCTATAGCCTGTTACTTATTATACTTATTCAGTTTAAATATAATACTGATCATTAGTTGTGCATTCACGGGTAACATCCAATTATCCAATATTATAATCATGAACATTAGATAATAATAATACAAACATCATATAAAGTCCTAACCCGCAAGGACTTAATATGAATATTTAAAATAGTTTTTGACATTTGACGATTTTAAATTAATAATATAAACTACCCAACAATTCATGAAATACGATTATAAATTATGATAATTAAAAAATTGTAAACGGCGTATAACAAAATTAATTATAATGATTTTATGCGTATAGTAATAGTAACTATTATATTAGGTATGCGAGCGAAATTATTTAATGATAATATAAAATAAAATAAAAATAGATATGAACATTTAACAGCGGTCGACGAGACGCGCGTCTCATAATAGTGCAACCCACACCTGTTTGTGCACGTAAAAACCAGACGCCACATATTATTATTATATTTAATTTTATACTATATTAGATCGTGTACTATAGTGTAGGCATTTGCATGTTTACTGGAATCACCCTCCAACGACCGGCATCGATCATAATTCGTAGCTATAGCTACGTACGCGGCTACAGCCTGCAACCATTTAGTTATAATTTATATAGCAGTATATTTCTAAGAATACCTACTATAATCATAATGGCATTGATTAAATATATTATATAACACAAAAAAAAGGTTTTGACAATTAATATTGAAAAATAATAATAATATATTATATTAATTATTAAGAGTTATAATATAAAGTTCGAATTTGTAAAATGGATATTTAATCAAATTTGAAATTATTTGACCGTATTTAAAATAAATAAGTGGGTAGAAGTTTTCTTGTTGTGTCCTCGCTATGACGCTACGACAGTTCG